AATTGAGGCGACCGAATTGTAAACCCAACCCGTTTTATTTATACTAATGTCTTTTAAGGTAAAAAATATTACTTGTATAATAAGTACAAAAGCATACAAATATGGGTGTAAGATAAGGAAGAAGTATCGTTCATCTAATAACTAAAAATAAAAAAATTGGTTATTAATGGCAAATATCCCCCCATAAGACAATCTATGTTCAGCAGTAGACTTTTGGTAGACTGTAAATTTAAAGATAACCTGTTAGTGAACTGCCATGTTGAATGAGCATAAATATCAGACCAAATTGTATGCAAGGTGTCTGATTTTACAAACATCAATCTGTGTACCAAAGCGATTGTGGCAAATCCTCTGGGCTGCCTATTTGAGGCAGGGGACCATTTACAGCCTTTTAAAATAAGGTAAGTACCTGGTGTGATGGTATCCACTGCAAAATAATATCTCTTTCTTCAGAGTTAATAGGCACAATCCGTCTACGGTGTGCTCTTAACATTGAAGATCCACATGGAATACAAATATTCCTGTACCCAAATCTTCTAATGGAGTGAGCTGATGCAACACTTTCTTGCAATATTCTTAGGCAGTTACAACAAACTGCATCAAGTGGGTGTAACTGAAAAAATCAGGAATTAAAAATAAAAGAGTAAATAAATATTAAGTTCAGATAAATGTACATTTTGAGGAGGGAAGCGAAGTTGGCATGAAAGTGAATGTTTGATGTGGAACCCTATATTATTTGAAATACAATACATTTTCAATTAAAAAAAAATTGGAAATCCAAAAGACAAATATCGATTAATATATTATGATTTTACAATATTTACAGTATTTCAGGTATATCATATAGTGATAAATAAACTTTATAATATTAGAGTATTATGGAGTTGTGTAATATTAGTAATATATGGGGGAGGCCTATGTTCGGCAGTGGAGTTTAATTGGCTGTAACGGTAATATTACAGTGGATTGAAATATTTTTCATTGCACAAAATAACTTACTTTTCTATTTACATAATATTTTATCCTTAGAATAAATATTGACACATATATACCTATACTTTTTCGACTTTGATTTCTGATTGACTGACAAAAGATAATTAGACACACATAACATGTGATACATCATACCATGCCACAAAAACTTCTTTTGTGTATATTGTGTGACTTTATTTTATCTATTATTTAAATTAGATTTCACTAATAACATAAAACTTCAATACTTTAACATTTAACACATTAGTAAGACCTGTGTTTATCATTTGTTAAAGGTTAATTCAGTATAAGTTATAGATTTTACAAAATTCTAGGAGGAAAAAATAAACTTTTATATTACTCACATGGACTTTTACTCGTCAGTTTGCATTTTCGAATGTCATTGGCAAATTATATACATAAATGTGATATAGGTATTTAATATTTGACTTACGTGCATGATATAACCCTTAGGTTAAACATTTTTTGCATCAATTAGACATTAACATACTAATCCACTTGTAAGCAGTAAAACTACGTGAATTTTCATTTTTAAACTTTTACTTTAACACGAACACAGTTTACATCAATTTAAACAAACAAGTTTATGCCATATTATATTTTTACAGTCAATGCCAGTCAATGGAGTCAATGCAAAGAACTATGCCTGTAAGTTGGTAAATAGCAGGAAAGAATGCAGTGTCATCTTGTGTCAAAATATAAAATAATTCAATCAATATAATATATCATTTATCAATTTAATATAACGAAAGATTAAAATTATAGCTATAGAAGGTATGAATTTATTAATAATATGAAGGGATATTTATTATTACTTTTAAAAACTTAAAATAATTAAGTACTTAATCATGTATAGATCGTTATGTGTGCCTGGAGTCTGTGGATCGTTTTCTTTCGTATTATTTCTAAAAAATCGTACCATATCCCATATTATTCAACAAAAATAAAAATATTAAGTAATACATTAATAAAGAAAATATATAATTTTCGTTTCCGCAGTATAGTAATATTGTTGGAATAAAATCGAGAGTAACAAAAATAATATATATTTCTCATAAAAGTTTAAATCTAGATAATATGTAAGTAGATAGATTGTATAGTGCAGTGATTAGCTTTCCATGAGATAATATTATACCTACCTCATGAGAAATCCACACAGATAAAAGTTGGCGCACATCAGCAGTTGTCTCGGCCAGTAATTGTCTTCGCACACTGCGTTGAAACCTGACTCCACAATTGCAACATACACTTCTATTTTCATTGTATGCTGATCTAGCAGATTCCATTTTCTTAAAATCGCATATAAATACAAAAAAACAGTAGCGTAACGAACGTCAATGCCGTTAAGATTAAAGACGTAGGTAATACCCCGCCGCCCCGCCCCGCCGTACCCGGCCGCCGGCCGCTGGGAATTACCGGAAGTCAATGATAAAATAACGTTTTGGTTCACAGTCATTTAGAACTATGTTATAACGCTAAAATTTTTAGAAATTAAACATAAAGTTCTTAGTGGTATCTTTTTTTAAGTCAGCTTTGTGAAAAAATAGTTTTCTTTTTATACAAGCTGCAAAATGACTAATTAGGTACACGCATTTTACCCATATTACACTAATCAGAACACGAATATCAAAACAACTAATTTTTTTTCGTATTTCTTGATTCCGTTTACATTTTCGAAAAATCTGTAGGCCATTTACTATTATAATTTGGTGTCTTTTTTTTGATGTAATACCATTAGTGGACGTTAATATTTTTAGTGGGCCCAAAAATGATTGTCCCCTTTAAGTTCCTTTTATCATGTCGGTATAATATATATATTGTAATGTAAAATACAACGTCCTGTTGTATTTGTTTTTAGTTTGGTTCAACACCGCCTAATGCAATGGTGGGCGGATTCTATAGATGTGAATTAGTCTTCATTTTTCCTTATTGTTATTTATAATTGTAAGTCGAATTCTTTTAGTAATTGTTGAATATGGACATTTCGTCCATGGTGGGCGGAATGTTCAATGCTCGCTCATAAAGCGATATGTGTTAGTAATAATGGTGTGAGTTAATAGATGGCGCTGTACTAATTATGTATATTTAGCAGTAATTGTAGTGTGGCTAGTTATTCATAGATGGCGTTGAATTTTGACACGAGTTTTGCAAGTCGCGATGTTAAGATCTATTCAAATTCTATAAAGGTGTTTGTGAAAATAAATGTTGTTGACTTGCCTTGGTGAATCTGAAGTTTTATTTATATTCGCAAGGAGCATTTTTTTGGGATTTAAACAGTGGGCGAGAAACCAAGAGGAAGACATTCTTTTGCCAGCTGATTTTTTAAATGAAATAATTGTTGATGACGATTAAATTCCAATAATTATTGTAGTTATTAAGTAACATTGTAGTTTTTAAGTAATATTGTATTATTGTAATCTGGCATAATGTTTTTATTTTAATAAATCAACGTATTTAACAAACCTTTAGTTTTATTTAAGCTATCATTATCTTATATTTGTATATTACGTATATAATAACATAGTCATATCATTATAATGTACTTAAAATTCATTATTATATCAATGTGACATCATCACGAGGTGTACAAAATATTGTATTTAAGATAAAACATGTAATCATTCCTTTTAAATGATTTAATTAGTTTCTTTTTTAATATAATCCACCTATGATAACTTTTTATCCTAGGAACTTACAGAAACAGTATTTTGTAGTCTTATTGTATACATAATTGGCTACTAGAAAATAAATAGTACAGATGTGGCCGCCGATGGGACAGGCTCCATACAATTTTGCCCATTTATTCAAAAAGAAAACTAAAATGGTCAACACCTATTGTGAAGATTGCCAGAAGAGCCTTTCTTGTGTAGCTTTGTTTTAATGTATTTCATCATAGATTTTTTAACATTTTATATTACTTTCATAGCTGATTTTGATTTCATGGCAGAAGTTCGTATTATTTTTATTAATTTTGCACTATTAAAGAAATAACATTTAACCCTTAACTACCTACCTGGAGTCTCTCAGACTCCAGCGACTTTGTTTTTGTTTATAACTTTATGTGTATGCGCCATTGTCCTTCGTGCGTCCGTGTACCTCCACCCCCCTACCCGCAGTGCCGCACCTGCACTCGTCGAGAATACACGCACACGCGCTGCTTTTTGGTATGCAAAAAACTTTTACTTGGAGTCTGAGAGACTCCGGGTAGGTAGTTACGTGACTTTTTAGCAAAATGTTTTTTTTTACTTGAAAATGATATGAAATTGAACACAAACTATGAAATTATCACGCGATGGAGGAAGGACATCCTTCAAATGAAGAAGTTACTTTCAACGAAGATTGCAGTTATGTGGAAGCAGATACCAGGATTATGTACTGTTTTGTGACCCATATCTGACTCCGTCGGACGATGATGTTACTTTGTATCAGTTGGCATCAAGACGGAGGAAGAAAAATTACTATGGCAAAAATCGTTTCCGTTGGTCGTCAGCGCCACATTCCAGTCGCTCAAGACAACATAATATTGTCATTTTTCGTCTTCGCCGCTTGATATTTAGAGTCAATTGGAATGCTTATGCAATGCTCGATACAATTGTGCTACACACCAACGGAAAACTCCAATCTATCAGACCAAAATACAAAAAACAATCAGAGCCGGTTCACACTAGTCGTAAGTCGCATATGACTAAAAGTCGAATGCTCTGGTCACCATACACTTTATATGGAGCTGTTCACATTGGACGAGACGCGATTTTTAGTCTAATACGACTCAAAAAACCATCCGACGGGCCAGCGCCCGTTGTAAGACTAAAAATCGCGTCGAATCGTGCTCGCATAGGTGCCTGCTTGTTGCTGTTCACACTAGTCGTGCATCTAATCGACTCGAGCGCGTTGTTACCTCTCTCCCCACCCCGCTTCCTAGTTCGCTACACATTGCTTGCTCACTCCATTCGTGTTTTATTCGTCGTGTTGGTTGCGCGCGCGCTGTTTTTGTTTGTTGTGTGAAAATGGAGAAAGAAATAAAACCCGAAGAACTAATTCCATTAGTTCACGAAAGAGCAGTCCTTTGGGATAAAACTATAAATGACTACAAAAATAATAATCTGAAACTATTGGCCTGGCGCGAAATTTGTACCATACTAATACCTAATTTTGAAAACATGGAAGAAAAAGAAAGACAACATTTCGGTAAGTGCCAGTAAAGTTTATTAACTATTATACTACATAGTTATGTATTTACAGTTGTATTATTATTTTTTAACTCATTTATATTATGCGTATCGCGCATTAGTTTGTCAAGGCAGCGAACCAATCGGGGAAGTAAAATAGTCTGCAAAGTCCGACCGTATAACATTTGCAATCGGACCACCACGAGGATTATGTACTCTCTGTTGTTGATCTTGTTCTTGTATCGATTGTTCTAGTGCAAGTTGAATATCTTCAAAGTTTAGACCATCCCTTTCTCTTAAATAATTATGCAATACTGCACAGGCTTTCACAATATGGATAGCTGTGTTTGGGTGGACATCCAATGGTCGATGCAGTATTCTCCATTAATTAGCTAAAATTCCAAAAGCACACTCAACAAATCTTCTTGCACGGCATAATCGATAATTAAATATTCTTTTCGTATCATCCAAATGATTGCCTCCGAAAGGTCTCATTAAATTTGTCGTCAGGGGGAAAGCTTCATCGCCAACTAGTACATAGGGCATATCCTTTTCGATTGTTTCATGAAGAGGCCTTGGCTTTGGTATGTTTAAACTACCATCATTCAGTTTCTTCCAAAAGGTAGTCCTCCTTGAATGTGGAAGAATCGCATTCTTTCCCATATAAACCAACACTTATATAAATGAAACGGTATTCTGCATCAACAACAGCTAGTAAAACAAATGAAAAATAACCTTTGTAATTGAAATACATCGAGCCGCTTTGATTTGGTTTCACTACTCTAATATGCTTGCCGTCGACGGCTCCAATACAGTGTGGGAAGTTAGCTTTAATATCAAAACCATTTGCGATGTTTTCCCATTTATTTTCATTGTCGGGCAACTTCATAAACTCTTCTTTTAATGTATCCCAGATAATGCAACTCATTTCTTTGATAATTTTACTAACAGTTGATACCCCGACTCTGAAATTGTAGTGCAGGTCTTTGAAGGAACATCCTGACGCACAATATCTGAAAATAATGTTGCAATATATGACTTACGGAATGTCTGGATCCGAACAAACAAAAAACCGGCCAAGAGCGTGTCGGGCCACGCTCAGTGTAGGGTTCCGTAGTTTTCCGTCCGTCACAATAAGTGTTCCCACTTATGAGTTTAAAGGTTCATTACGTTCGCGCTCCAGCAGCGCTCCGCGCTCCTGCAACTGCTCCCGGTAGTGGGTGGGTGTTTCCATCCAAGTTCAAAATGATTTTCCTAGAAAGTCCTTATAAAGTTCTACTTTTCAGATTTTTTTCATATTTTCTAAACTTATGGTTCAAAAGTTAGAGGGGGGGGACACATTGTTTTTTACTTTTGGAGCGATTATTTCCGAAATTATTGACATTATCAAAAAATGGTTTTAGTAAACCCCTATTCATTTTTAAATACCTTTCCAACAATATATCACACGTTAGGATTGAAATTAAAAAAAAATCACTTGCCACTTTACATATAGGGGGGCTACCCTAATAAAACATTTTTTTCCAATTTTTATTTTACCACTTTGTCGGCGTGATTGATACACATATTGGTACCAAATTTCAGCTTTCTAGTGCTAACGGTCACAGAGATTAAGCGAGGACGGACAGACGGACAGACAGACATGGCGAAACTATAAGGGTTCCTATTTGACTACGGAACCCTAAAAATGATGAAAAAAAATCAGGATCAAGGGCAAAGTCGTCAAAGCCATATGTATATAAAGAGCAAATGGATTTTTTGCGTAAAGTTACTAGACCTAATCCTCCTCAAGAGTCTGTTGCATCGCGTATATCTCAACCAGGGACAGAAGGCAGTACTCAGCTGTCTGAAAATTCGCAACCAAGCACTTCTAAAAGACAAAAGACCATGCCACCACAGCAACATATAATGGACTTAGGGTCCGTTCACACAGACCGGCTCGGAGAGGAGAGCAGATTTTTATCACGTTGGAAACAGTGTTTTGAGTGATTGTAGTAAAGTTTATTTTTGCATTTGCACCTTTTTTGTCATTAAAAATGCCTGAACGCGCTTCGTGTGAAGTAATAAAAAGGAGCCGACCGGCTCCGCTTGCGTGCTCTTTCTCGCTCGCGCAGCCGATCGGCTCTGATTGCGTGCTCTTTCTCGCTTGCGCAGCCTGTCGGCTCCGATTGCGTGCTCTTTCTCGCTCGCGCAGCCGATGGGCTCCGATTGCGTGCTCTTTCTCTATCGCGTAGCCGATCGGCTCCGATTGCGTGCCCGCTGCGGCCGCGCCGACCGCCATTTTGATAGCAACATTTGAACGTAATAGTTGTGCGTACTTGTACGAAAAGATGAATGATGAAAAATTAATAATACTCGTGTCAAAATATGAGTGTTTATTTGACATAACCAAGCCATCATATAGCGATCGGATAATGAAAGACAATGCATGGGAGGAAATTAGCAAATGTCTCGGAATAAGTGGTAAGTAAGGTTTTCATTGTTTTACACCTACCCCCAGATACTCAAACGAATTTTAAAGCAAGGGCTTCTTAAACTCGTGCTGCGACGTGTTAGATTCAAAGTCAAAATAGGAATAACATGAGTTTAAATGCGCCCTTACTTTAAAAACTCGTTTGAGTATCTGATCGTTAGAATATACTTATGTAGTAGACAATTTTTATTAAATATAACTTAAGAAACTCGCGTAGCCACTTGATCTTGCCAATCTAAAGCACCACTTGATGAAAAATAATCCTTAAATTTATTCCTTGTGGTTAGAACTGCGTCGCTATTAGAACTGTTTTCATTATTATTGTCTGTTATTGCTGTTAATAAATTTATATTGCTGTGAAATTCATTCTCTTGTCCTGGCGTCCGATTTTCTATTAAAAAATTATGTAAACATGTAGTTGCTAATATAATTAAATCACAGTACTTCGGCTGAATTTTCATTCGTTTTTGATAAATTTCAAATCTTTGAGTTAGCATTCCAAATGCACATTCTACGACTTTTCTTGCCGTGCTTAAACGCAGATTAAATACTTTTTTTGATAATTCTGTTCTTGCTTGTTCTCTTGGATACGGCCGCAATATATTATTGCTCAAAGGAAATGCCTCGTCTCCTATAAAAACATGTGGTAAGCTTTCAGTGGTACTAGGTAGAGGTTTATTTGGGGGCAGCTTTAACTTATTGGTGTTGAGTTTTTTCCAAAATTTTGAATTCTGTAAAATTCCGCCGTCGCTATTTTTACCATATGATCCGACATCAACAATTAAAAAACTGTATTTCGCGTCGACCACAGCTAGTAACACTGTACTGAAAAAGTTTTTTATAATTATAGTATAAGCTTCCACTATTATCTGGTGCCTGTATATTGACATGCTTTCCGTCTATAGCGCCCAAACAGTTAGGAAAATTCCAAATATTAAAGAAATCACGTGAAACCTTTTCCCACATTTCTTCATCTGGCATCTGCATAACTATGGGCATCAAAACATCACAAATTACTCTGATTGTCTCATGAATAATTGAATGAACTGTAGAAATTCCCATTCGAAAATTAAATGACAAGTTTTTGAAACTGCAACCAGTGATGAGGAATCTGTAAAAATAAAACAAACACACAAAATAGAAATATAAGACTGCCGTACCAAAACGAACTATAAAATAAAAAAGAGTTATGTTATTAATTTTTCATTTCTGTTCTTTCCAGTGACGCAGTGCCAGGATCGTTGGAAGAAACTGCGAGATAACTTCAGAAAAGCCTATTATAACCGAAAAGGCAAGAGTGGCGATGGTGCAACTACGTCCAAATTGATAAAATTTGAAAAAGAACTTTCTTTTATAATACCATTTTTTCGCAATCGAAACCAAATATCTAATGTAACATTATTATCGGATGATTCAGAGCCTGGCACACCAATACCACCACCATCGACATCATCTAAACGTTCTGACCATTCTGAAGTTGAATCGCTTGCAAGTACTTCTGGCTCGAAAAAGAGACCACGCTTAAGCAAAGATGTTGCTACGGTTTTCGAAGAGTATCTTGAAGAAAAAAGAAATACTACACCCCGTGACAAGGCATTACGTAATTTTTTTTTGTCTATGTCAGATACAGTGGAAACATTCCCAAAAGAAGTCCAAGCACGAATTAAAAGGCGCGTGTTTAACATTGTTAATGAAGCTGAATTAAGTCTGTATGAAAATAGTACAGATTTGAATTATTCTTTGTCTATAAATTCACCGCCATCGACTAATCAATCTACTTACCTAGTGTCAAACGAAACCTATATTCCTCAAAACTATCCAGATCAGACTACTTACGGGTACAATACCAGCACACAAAATACAAAATAATAAACAATCAAAAACAATAATAATTATAATAATAATAATTAAACACACACAAATCTGTACTATTTAATTACATTTCATTAACGTAAATAATGCTTAATAAATGGAGGGCTGTGATTTTGTGATCTATTTAGATGTTTGTGTTATTTAACATGATTAGTATAAGTAATTTACATTTCATTAACGTAAACAATGCTTAATAAATGGAGGGCTGTGATTTTGTGATCTAAATAACATGATTAGTATAAATAATTGTTTTTTATTTACCTTAAAGTTACCGTTAACCTTTCTTCGGCTGTAATGGTGCAACGATAATTTGTAGTCTTTTTTTGTTATATGTACTCTTAACAAATCTGTCAATTTCAAAAATTGCCAATATTCCATACGATAATACTCATAAAATTTTAGGCTATCTCTCTTCAATTCCTCGAAAATGGTGTGAAACTCCCCATGGATTAGTCTGTTTTTCCAAATATGTTTTACCCATATTTGTTTCCGCTTGCGCTTACGTTTCCTATGTTCTATTTCAAGTAATCTTGCTAACAAATATATTTCTTCGTCGGAGCTATCTAAATCCATGTTTCGAAAAGCACACGTTAACACACCGAAAACAAAACTTAGACTGCGCGGAATACTGGCACTGCCTTTGTAGTGTATCCACCCGACTCCGAGCGCATCCGACCGGCTCCGAGCACATCCAACCGCACCCGCTTTCAGATCTCTTCCAGCCGGTCGATGTGAAATAGTTGGCGGCTCCGCTCCGGCCAATTCCATGCGTATACGACCCGGTCTGTGTGAAAAGAAAAAAGCAGGCCGATGCTCTCCGAGCCGGTCTGTGTGAACGGACCCTTAGATGTCAAAATGAGCGAGTTTTTAGACAGCAGGCTATCACAACAAACTGATCCCCCAATTTTATCATTTTTTAAAGGTATCCTACCCTCTATTACGTCTTTCGACGATGACGAAACGTTGGAGCTTCAATCAGGTGTATTAATTATCACTGACACAACAAATCAAAAAGAAACGTGAAAACAGACTTTATGCAAATAATTATAATTACGCGCGTGATAGCACACGGCGATCAGGGTATTCGACACAGAACTATAATTATTTATCTACTGATGAATCCGGATATTCCTCTCAAAACCAGGCTGTTCTTACATCACATGGGTCTGGATATGAAAGACGTCCAACGTATGAGGAAGGATCGCCTGCTGCATCTACTTGGTCGGAAAGTACTGAATTAAATTTCTCCGATTTTTGAATTATTGTAATATGTTGCGCTGTTTACCTACTTAAAATAAACAAGTTAAAATAACTTTTGTTTCCATTTCAATACACCTAAGAAATCACACTACAACTGCTACAATCAGACTACTACACTACAAATACAATCTGAATATTTGTAGCAGTTGTAGTGTGGTTCTAAAAAAAACACTTACCTAAGAAATATCGACAGTCTTTCTTCAGGACAAATGCAGTCTCTAAATGTCGTATTCCGATACGTGATGCTCGCAGAAACTCTTGACAGTAGGTCGTTGAAAGTTGCTTGTGACATTCTAAAATAATTAAAGAATTTTCGTTCGTCATTTTTTAATTCATGTATAAAATTTTTATAACTTCCTAAAGTCGATCTTTCTGTTAGGATTGGGTGCATCCAGTATTTTCTAGGAATTGACTTTTTTTCAACTTTTTTTAATTTTCTTCGTAAGTAGTAGAGCACAACAAGTTCTTCGTCGGCGTCCATCTCGTGAGTTCGCTACGTACCGAATGGCGCGAAACTACGACCTATAGGACTCGCGACGCAGTGTGAACAGGTACATCAGACTTTCGACTTTTAGTCATATGCGACTTACGACTAGTGTGAACGAGCTGTCACGTGTTCAAGATCTAGATAGATATACAAGAACTTAAATCTTAAAAGTTTTTGAATAAAAAAGTAACACGTAGAGACATCTATTGGTTTGTTAGGAAAGGAAACATAAGTCATCTGACACATTGACCGCTGAATTTTTCGCAAAATGGCGTCGAGCAACAGAGGTGTCAACGTGCGCTCGGGCAAAGGTAAGTTTAATCCCGTCCTAAATATAGGACAGTAGGCTTATCTGGGTTAACCCAGATAAGCCTACTGTCCTATATTTAGGACAGTAGACATAAAAAAAAATATCAGAATACCCTCTTTATCTAAGATTATTTGAGTCTTATGATTTGCAGTAAGAAACGTGTCAGCTTTATTAGAAAAAATAAAAAGACAGTTATTTTAACAGTTTTTACCTTATATTTTACCTTATAAGTGTGTAATAAAAGTGCGTTGCAGACATGGCAAATGACAGGTATGTATAAAAAGTTATATTTTACTCGTGAGTTGTTTTTTTCTGTGTTAATATCTAGTTGATAACCTTAACTTTTGTACTAAATAAATATTCTAGCAAAATAATATAAATAAATTACGTATAACTTGTTACAAATACTAGCGTACTATATATAGGACAGTAGGATAATATACATGATTTTAGTACAATAATACAACTTTTTCTTTACAGACCGTTAGCTGCGCATGAAATTTTAGATGCTTTCGAAAATGTTTCTGATAATGAAGAAGATTATAGAGAACGACTGATATGTATTCTACCTCCTCCTGTTGATCCTGACTGTCTCACTGACGAAGATTCGGGTGAAGAAGATAATGTAACTTTGAATAATTTGCCACGAAACATTCTGCTTCAACCGGCTGAAGTAATGATTCAAGGGCAGATTATGGTGAGTGATACAGAAGAAGAACCTTCTGATTCTACAGCTCGAACTAAACGTAGGCGTACCTACGCATGGAGAAAACGGGACTTGGCAAAAAATCCCGTGAATTGGCCAGATGTTCAAGGCGCTTGCCAAGATAAGCGCCCAATTGAGTGGTTTGAAAACTTCTTAGATGAAGATGTTATTTCGTTGTTGGTGTCAGAGAGCAATAAAAATGCTGTCAAAAAGAATTTGCCTGGAGACATAACCACCGAAGATATGAAATGTTTCATCGGCATATTGTTGGTTAGTGGTTATTCATGGCTCCCCCGTAGAAGAATGTATTGGGAAAACTCCCCTGATACAAAGAATGAATTGATCAGCTCGGCTATGACTAGGGATAGATTCGACTTTATTTTTCGCCACCTTCATGTCAATGATAATCTGGATTTGCAAGACAAATACACAAAAGTACGCCCCCTAGTTACACTTCTAAATAAAAAGTTCTTAGAGTTTTCTCCTCTTGAAGAGCATTACAGTGTAGATGAGGCCATGATCCCCTACTATGGTAGACATGGCTGCAAACAGCACATAAAAGGTAAACCTATTAGGTACGGGTTCAAAGCTTGGGTTGGTGCTACACGGTTAGGGTATGTTTTATGGATGGAACCATACCAAGGTGCTACAACTATGTGCAATCCAATATATAAAGAATTGGGGCTGGGCGCAAGCGTTGTTCTCACTTTTTGCGATGTGCTGATTTCACGTGGCTTCGACCTTCCTTACCACGTAGTTTTTGATAATTTTTTTTACTGGGACGCCCTTGCTGGAAGAGATAACAAAGAAAGGCCTTCGTTGCACTGGGACAATTCGAGAAAACAGGACATCTAGTTGTCCTCTGATTACATCGAAGTTACTGAAAAAAAAGGAACGTGGTGCTGTCGATTACAGAACGACACATGACAACACGTTCATTATTGCTAAATGGCATGACAATAATATATTCAGTATTGCTTCTAATGCTGTAGGAATAAATCCTAAACAATCTGCCAAACGCTTCTCACAAAGTGAAAAGAGAAACATTGTCATAGAAGAACCACATATGGTGTCCATCTATAACAAATATATGGGAGGAGTGGATCGGTCTGATGAAAATATTTCACATTACCGAATTGGTATACGAGGTAAGAAATGGTACATGCCGTTGCTCACACACATGATTGATCTTGCCGAACATAATGCATGGCAGTTATATAAAATAAATCATGGAAAACTGGATCATCTTGGCTTTCGCAGAAGGGTAGCAATTGCTTTGATTGAATCAAACAGAAAAAATGCCAAAAGAGGGCCTAGCCGACCCTCCCATCATGAACATGCTGATAGTCGTAAAGACCAAATGAATCATCTGGTTATTCCTCAATCAAAGCAAACACGCTGTCGTCAATGTCACAAAAAATGTTTGACACGTTGCAAGAAATGTGATGTTGGAGTGTGTGTCAAGTGTTTTGAAACATATCATTCATAAATAGTGTTAATCTAGTAAATTACATATAACAATGGGTAATATAATCAATAGTTATCTAATAAACTACACTTTTTAATTACATTCTGTTTTGTCATAAATGGTCTTTTATTTCCTCTTATTATCCAACTGTCCTACATATAGGACGGCTGTTTCCCTGAAAGCCTTACACTTAATTTTTTTTCATAATTTTTTTATGTTGCATAAGATCTAATAAACTAAATAATGTAACTTTTTTCAAAATTTTCAGAAAATTTTAGTTTCAGGCTTATCTGGGTTAATTTATGTAATTTTTCTCAATTTTATTAAAAAAATTGCTTTAATTGCTAGATAAACTAAGTAAAATACGAATTGCAGTTTTATTTTTTGAAATAGAGTAAAATCCTGCATGTCGCGGCACGTGTTTCTTCTATGTCCTCTGGGTAGAACATATTCAGGCTATTGAGATAAGGTCAGGCAATTTAACGTCCCATATGTAGAACATTGTCAGATATCAATGGTATAATATTTTTTCTTTTTTCAGAATTAAATGATGAAAAAATATTGGACGCCCTGCAAAACTCTGACATGGACTATGATTCTGATGTATCTGATAATGACCCAAATTATCAGCCTCAGGTTGGACAATCGCAACAGAACAGAAAGTACTTCAGACAGCTTATCCGATGACGATCCTCCTTCGCTTGTTATGTCAGCAAGCTCTATGAGAGCTACATCGCGTGTTCGAAGGAGTCAAGCTGGCAGGGGAGTCCGACGTGGATCACGGATACGAGTAAGGACATCAAATTCACGCGATGGAATACAAAATCAATGGACAAGTACTACTTTTGATCCAGAAATAAGGGAGCTTCAACAACCCACATATATACCAAAAAACTGCGAAGGGTGGCAGAATTTGACGTATGTCGAACAGTATATTGATGACCAGATTTTAGACATTATTTTTGTATATACAAATAGAACAGAAGTTGGACGCACAGGAAAAACATTGGGTTTTACTAGGAAGGAGCTGAAGGTATATATGGGGATAGTAATGATAATGTCGGCTTTACAATATCCAAAAATTGATATGTATTGGATGCAAAGATGGAGAGTCCCGGTTGTAGCGAATGCTATGAGCCGATCACGCTTTTATGCTATAAGAACTAAAATAAAATGTGTTTATGATGAAGATATAAGCGAAGAAGACAGAAAGAAAGATAAAATTTGGAAGATTCGTCCACTTTTTGAACGCATTTTACAAGGTTGCTTAGATCAAGATCGTCCTCAAGATATGTGCGTAGATGAAATGATGATACCATTTTCTGGACAATGTCATATGCGGCAATACTGCCCTAATAAACCGAACCCGCTAGGGTTAAAAGTGTTTGTACTAGCTACACCAGATGGAATTGTTTGCGACATGATTATGTACCAAGGAGATACTACTGTTCCAGACTTGATAGGTCAAGGATTTGGTCTAGGCGAAGCAATGGTTTTATACCTCACACGTTCTCTATTACCTGGACATCGATTATACTTTGACCGTTATTTTACCAGCGTAAAACTGTGTGAAGAACTCCTGAATCGAGGTATTCATGGAACTGGCACTATTAATAGGAACAGAATTCCAAAAGACTGCGTTTTTACGGATGAAATGGAATTTAAAAAGAAACCTCGTGGAACAAGCGAAGCACGCATTCGCAATGATGGAAAATTAGCTGCAACAGTGTGGTTAGACAACAAACCTGTTTGGATGATGTCTTCAATATATTGTGACCAGAATAAGGATGAATGCAATAGGTGGTCTAAGCTACGTAAACTTTATGAACGTATTCCAAGGCCTGAAGTTATTCGGTTTTACAACGGAAATATGGGTGGAGTTGACCTAGCAGATCGAATGCTTTCGGTATGCCCATCTAGAAATAGAACAAAAAAGTGGACAACTCGTGTCATCTCACATTTATTTGATTTAGCTATTGTTAACGCGTGGTTACAATATAGAAAGCAAAAGATGATAGAAGGGACAAAGACGACAGATATTGAACAGTTGAGAGAGTTCAAGCTTGATTTGGGCTTCACTTTGCGATCACAAAGCGATCCTGATGAAGTGGAAGAACTCATGCCAAAACATAAAAAACGCAAGGTTGCGATTGTTCTTTTGCCTACAAGGAGAAGACGAAAGCAAAAAGCTGCCCATATTCCCGAATATGCGACCAAACAGTCGCGATGCAGAAATTCTGGCTGCGACAAAAAGACCACGGTTTTTTGCAAGAAGTGTAATGTTTTTTTATGCTTCATACCAAACAGGAACTGTTTCACTCATTTTCATGAGACTGACTAGATGACTAGATTTGCTTATGATTACCATTTTTTTTTACTTATGTTTCTAAGAATTTGAATTGGTTTCTAAGATTTTTTAAGAATGATAACTATATAGATAAACATTGATGTCTATTGAATCTTAGTTTTTAGAATTTATTTTTATTTAGAATTTACTTCAGACTGAAAATGTCAATTCTAGGTTGAACAAAGTTGTTGTCTGTTGATTTTGGTGCCAAATTTAGATTTGTAAGAGAATTTAGATAGTTTTGTGCTAACGTTAATCTCTATTGATTCTCATAGTAAGAGGTTTGTAAGAATTTATTTTTGATTACAATTTACTTTTGACTGAAAATGTTAACTCTAGCTTGAACATAGTTGATGTCTGTTGATTTTGATACAAATGATTTTAGAAATAGATGAGACTGCTATTATAGTAATTAAAATGTTTTATTTTTCTCTTGAAAATGAATATTCTTTTATGTTCTATGTGTATTTGTTCTATGCAATTTACTGCATTTGTCCTATGCAAAGAAAGTAGTGAAAATCCAAATTTTCTCGATAAAAATTTTGTATTCTTGGACCCTAAGTAGCAATCAGTAAAAAAAATTGTAAGAAATTCCATAAATCTAACTTTCTGTAGTCAGGAGGTTATACAGATGTGTTCAAGGTAAACCGCCAATTTTATCAGTCATGGTTTTGTACGGATGATACAGGCAGCGAAATATATTGACGCATAATGAGCAAGAATCGATTCAAAGTTTTACTATACGTTAGTCGATTTGACGATTCATTGACAAAAGAAACTCGTCGAGAAAGTGATCCGTTTGCGCCAATATCTGATCTGTTCCATTCCTTTATGTCAAGATGTGTATAGTATTGTAAGTTATGCTTGTGTTGACGAAATGCTCTATCTAATATAGCATAAAAATGTGTTTCACTGGTGCAAGAACAGGGTATTTCCTTAATGCGTACATTTATACATAAAAAGATTCCGATTTGTTAAACCTATCTACTAATTATGATCGGTTAAAGAAACCTACTCAAGCTGTGCTTCGGCTTTCTTCATGTATTGAAGAAACAAACAAAAACATAACGCCACACAACAGGTTGACGTCTATTGAGCTTGCCAATTGTTTGAAAGATAAACAACTGACACTAATCGGCACAATGAGAAGGAATCGACGAGACATAACACGCCAGTTCTTGCCTTCACGTCAGCGAGGGCTTGAAACATCTCTCTTTGGTTTTACGAAGCACATATCAATCGCATCTTTTGTACCAAAAAATTAACAAAGCGATCATTGTTATTTCAAGCCTGCATCATATACCAGATGTGGATCAAGTCACCAAAAAACCTGAAATTATACTGTTTTATAACGATACCAAAATCGGAGATTAGTTAGATCAAAGGTGCTCAAATTATTCGACGGATCGCCGAACGCGCAGATGGCCACTTACTATATTTTATAGATTACTGGCAGGGCCGGATTAACCCTTAAGCAGACTAAGCAGCTGCTTAGGGCCCCGTAAAATTGGTCCCCGAAAATCAAGCGTTTAATTTTATTTCAAAGTATCAAAAAGAAATTTTAGGTCAACAACATTTCAATTTTCATGAAATGAGTCTTTCTTTGCCAGTTAAAAGAAGTTGGGAAACTGCCTTTTTAAATGGGGGCCCCAAAGATAAAGCGTATTATTTGTTTTTAGTTCCAACAAGAAATTCTGGATCAAAAGAACATCAGAATTTCCATATAATGAGTCTTTTCAATTGAAAAAGTTTGGATAATGACTTCTGAAGTGGGGCCCCCAAGATCAGGCTATTATATTTGTTTCAAGCTACCTGAAATATTTTACCTTTATTGTTCATCGAAACCTTTTTGACATCGGCCTTTACCTACTATTGTTTAACCGAATAATTGGCTTAAAGTTAAGAACTAAAAACCGAAAATGTGGGGATATATGGTTTTCATCAAAAAATTGAAAACTTAAGTATAAATTTTTGTACCTTGTTGACTGTAAGTCAAAACAACATTCCGCCTGTGGCACCGCTCTCGAGCGGTCGTGTCCAGGTAGTCCGCGCTCTCGTCCCCGTACGGTAGTGCTATCTCGCTCTCGCGCCTCCGCTGTCCTGTTCGCGCTGTACAGCGTCGACGCATTGGTGAGTCATTTACGCTAACAGTTCTTGCCCCCCTGTCTTCGGGCGGGGAGGTTTGACTGACCTCCGCTTGTTACTGCTATTTTATTGTTATTGTTTTATTGTTGATTTTTGTTATTTCTCTTGTTATTCTTTGTTTTTCTTGTATTGTTATACGTGTATATTGTCGTAGTACGTCTCGTGTTCAAGTCCCTGTTCTTCTGAGAACAGGGACCCGTCCCAATCCATACTGTTCGTAGAATTACTGCCCCCAACATGTCCACAGTTAGTCAAATCAAGTCCCTCGTCGCCGCCCTAAACCAAACTCTTGGTCTGGGCCTTAACCTCAATGAAACGGCCCTCGCCGCCATTGCCGCCCATGTTACTCCCCCCTGCCGCTCAGGTACTCCAACCGCCGCCCGTAATCGCGACATACCTAGAGACTAAGAACTCTTTTGCCCCCTTAGAGATGGAGTACGCATGCTCCGAGTCCTCTGCGGCCTCCCGGAAGAGGCCCGCCACCAATTCTGGCACCGGATCATCGGAATCTTGTGACTCCGACGGAACCGGGGATTCTTCATTCACCACGGTGAACTCCAAGCGCAGCGGTAAACGCGCCGCGAAAAACCGCACCCTCCCTGTCTCAGCGGCCCCTGCCGCTCCTACAACCTCCGCAGCTCCCGCTGCCGCCTCTGCCCCCGTAGCCCCGGCCGCTGCCTCGGCCCCACTTATGTCACTAGACATCCCCGCTCCGACCAAGCCAGCCTCTCGCTGTGCTCCAGTTCTTGCCAAGAAGCAAGTCCCGCCCCCTGTCTTCCTAAGAGACAAGGCAAGATTCACCAAATTGTCGAAAACCTGCTACGACGCAGGCATTAAATATGACCACGCCATCAACCTCGGGGAGACTATTAAAATCATCCCTAATTCGATCGATGACTTCCGTCAACTCACCAGGCTATTCACAGCCGAACGAGTTTCTTATCATACGTACGCTCTTCCGGAAGAGCGTAAAATCAGGGCCGTCATCCGAGGCGTACCCTTCGAATTTTCTAACGAGGAAATCCTTGAGAACCTTAAGTCCCAAGGCTTCCACGTAGAAGCCGTGCACAAAATGCACAGCAGAACGGGCCAGAGGTTCTCTCTTGCCCTAGTCATTTTAACGAACGTGCCGGAGGCAAAAGCCATCTTCCGGCAGGTACGCACAGTGTGTGGCCTGTCGAGAGTGAGGGTTGAGCCCCCACATAGGCGCGGGTTCCCGGCGCAGTGTCACCGCTGCCAGATATATGGTCATGCGGCGGCCAACTGCTCCGCCCCACCCAAGTGCGTTAAGAGCCCTGAACCCCACAACACCAAAGAGTGTCCTCGGCCCAAAGACGCCGAATCCCCACCCGCATGTGTCCTGTGTAAACAAACAGGCCAGCCGGCAAACTACAGAGGCTACCCTTGCGCACCTCATCCTCGCCCCAGTAGGCAAGCTCCACCACCGGTCAATGACCGCTCATTCCTGGCTCTTTACCAACGGCCCCGTCAGGGCCTTTCTCAGCCCATCCAGGGCTTCTCTCGACCCTCTCAGGGTCACCCTAGGCCCCCTCAGGGCATTATTCGGCCCCATCAGGGCATTGTTCGGCCCCATCAGGGCATTATTCGGCCCCCTCCGGGCTTCTCTAAGCCTATGCAGCCTCCAGTCTTTCCCTGGGGCCCCAAAAAGGCAGACCCACCGCGGACAACCTCCGCCCCACAAAAATCACAGCCCTCAATGGCTGATGACCTAAAAACGGTATTTCGCTATTAGGAACATCGACGTTGGGGAAATCGCTGTGTTAGCACGCAAATTGCGCGCTGCGAGGTCCCCTCAGGACCGTCTCCTCGCTCTTGCAGAGCATCATAATCTTCTGTGCTCGTTGTAAGTTAAGTTAACTTAATTAACTTAACTTCACAATGACAGAACAGTTTGCTCTACCAAAGTCTCACGGTCGTCTCAAACCTAAGGGTTTATCGCTTGTATCCTTTAATATTCGCGGTTTGCGTACTCTCCCAGAGTTTAAGCTCTTTCTTCGAAATCATAAAGCCAATTTCCTCCTCCTACAGGAAACTAATCTCATAACTAAGGACACTAAATGCCTTTCCATTAAAAACTTTTTTCTTTTTCGTAATGACAGACCCGACCGCCGAGGCGGAGAAGACACTTCACTGCTCGCCCATTTCTACTCCGCAGCTTACCAACATGGAAGCCACGGTATGCAGGCTAACTATGACTGGACATCAGTCCATCCTCATAGCCTCCTATTACATCCCTTCAGGAACCCATCCCCTCAAAAAAGATTTTGAGGCTATTTTATCTTTAGGCAATTAAGTCAATATGTTTGGAGATTTTAACTCCAAGCATACTGAATGGACATGCCGTACAGGTAGTAGCAGTATCTTGCCCCTAGTGGCAAGATACTGCTCGATATCACGCAGTATCTTGATATTACCGTCCAGTCCCCTCGGTGTTACTCACTTTCCCGATAACACCGATCACGCCCCTGATGTACTAGATTTTGCGTTACTCAAAGGAGTTTCTCTCAACCTCAGGTCAATCGAGACAATAGACGATCTAGGATCCGATCACCGACCGGTCTCCCTCATTCTTGGCCATCAGCCGCCTCTCCAACACACACGAAAACCTTCACTAATTGGAAGGGATTCAAGGAGTCCCTAGCTAAAGCTGAGTGAGTGTGAGTCCAGCTCACAGGACTCTACCATCCCCCTATCGTCGGAGTTAGGCAGTCCCGAAAAAATCGACACCGTGGTCGATTCACTCTCCACCCTTATTAAATCCTCTCTTAAGGAGAACGAAAGGGTCGTCCCGGTTGCTAACAATAGTGGGCTTCCCCTACATATTAGTAACCTATTAAAAGCCAAGAAAGATCCTTTCCGGGGAGCAGCAAAATATCCCACTCTCGAATATAAGCGCACGGCCAATCGTCTTCCACGAGAACTCCGTTTCCGCCTCTTTGAATTTCTAGATCTCGAAAAAAGTAAACTCATGGAGAATATCTCTCCATCTCATACAGCGTACTATCAGATGGCTGTTTCCCGACATAACAGCCCCGGACAGAATAGCCCCGACAAAACAGCCGCTCACCGACAAAACAGCCCCCGTCAAAACAGCCCCCGACAAAACAGCCCCCGACAAAACAGCCCCCGACAAAACAGACAAACAAAACAGAGACAAAACATAAAATTATTATAAAATTTCTAAGTAAGTAATTTACGAAATATGATCGTTGTAGGTAGTATAATATTATTACGTTGCTAGTTGCATTGATAATCGTGCTTTTTATCTTCAGAGTATATTACATAATGAAAATATAATATAATAATAATTAATTATTTCTGTGAATATATTGTGGAATTTTATATTCAGCTTTCAATTTAATTAACTTACCTATTATGAGTAGGTTCCAAGAAGGGGCGATTTACGTTTCGGCCGATTAGCAGATTTGAATAAATGTTATAATAACTTATAGTCCGTTCATCGCTTTAAGAAAGTAATTTGTAATGTGTTTACAATACCTATTGTACCTCTTGCGGCGATAATCCTCTTATTGCTAAAGTAATTTGTAATGTGTTTACAATACCTATTGTACCTCTTGCGGCGATAATCCTCTTATTGCTATTGAACGAGTATGGGTCATTTAGAAATACATGGGAAGTGTTAATAAATTACTTATTTTTAATTATTCTATAATTGCAGCACCAGGTAAGGGGATAATCCCCCCGTAAAAGAAAAGTTAGTTTCTTAAATCGATGAACGGACTATACCTATTATGAGTAGGTTCCAAGAAGGGGGGATAAAGTAATATATAAGAACATCGGGACACACAAAATAACTATAGTCTTGTAGAATTTTGTCTGGTGAAGATCATGGAACTTATTCAATCGCAGAAAGGCAAAGATTTACTGTTGAGCGATGGGTACCGGTATCGTAAGGCGAGAACTAATACCGATGGCAGTGTATCATGGAGATGCGCCGAGACACCTTGCCGAGGACGTGTCAAAGTGTCATTGGAAAATGTCGTGGTAAATGTAACTCGACACAGTCATGCTCCAGATCCAGCTAAAAATGAAGCAAAAAAATCTGTGTCTAATATGAAAAGGCGAGCAGAGGACACCCTTGAGAAACCAAGGCAGTTGATTCAAGGATCGACAAGAGGGATAAATTTGGAAGCATCAGTCCATTTGCCATCGTACAATGCATCTCAGAGAACTGTTGAGCGTATTCGGCAAAGGCGTGAAGTGTCGTGCCCAAACCCAGGCTCTGTTGCCGATATTAATATTCCTGTTGCACTACAAGTCACTTCAAGAAATCTAAATTTCTTGTTATGGGATTCTGGACAGAATGATCTTCATCGCATCTTCATGTTTGGTACTAAAGAAAATTTGGAAGTTTTAGAGGAGCACCGGCACTGGCACGTAGATGGAACCTTTAAAGTAGCCCCACAATTATTTTTACAAGTATTTACCATTCATGCATTGGTAGATAACCGTTCTATTCCGTTGATTTACGTGCTTCTACAGGATAAACGAGAAGAAACATATGTTCGAGTGTTTCAAAAATTGATGGAGTTGAAACCCACTTTAAATCCAATAAGCTGCTTATCTGACTTCGAGAAAGCGATCCAAAATGCAGTTTGCCAGGTATTTCATGGTGTTCAGGTGATGGGTTGTTTATTCCACTTAGGGCAGTGTTTATGGAGGAAAATCCAAGAGCTACATCTTGTAGAAGAATATCGCAATGAGGAAAATGTGAGAATGCATTTGAAAATGTTACTAGCGTTATCTTTTGTCCAAGAGGGCGACGTAATCACTGCTTTTGAGGAGCTAACCGAAAGCTGTCCACGAGAAATTGATGCAGTCATCGAATACTGGGAAGATACTTATATAGGACGGCAAAGAAGAAATCGGAGAGCAGATCCAAAATTTCCTATTCATGTATGGAATGTTCATGATAGAGTGCACCAGGGCCTTCCGCGTACAAACAACTCTGTAGAAGGATGGCATCATGCTTTCCAACACACCGTTGACTGTCACCATCCATTTATTTTCAAATTAATAGACCACTTCAGGAAGGAACAAGACCGGGTAGAAATAGAGTTGGAACGTTTTCGAGCCGGCTTCAGAAATCCCGAAGCTTCCAAAAAGAAGTATGTGCAACTTAATCGTCGATTGGAAACTCTTATGGGAAATTATAACAACGACGACCTTTTACCGTATCTCCGTGGAATTTCCAACAATCTGACATTATAAATTGATATATTATTATATAACTTCATTTATTTTTATTTTATAATAATTATTGATAATTGTAACCTTTGTAATTAATAACCTTTGACGAATATAATTTGTAGAATTTTGTTTGTAAATATACATTATAATATAATTTTATACCTACATTTATTTTTGTTTTTAAGTCGTGTGTAGACGATGCAATAGTTTTGTTGGAAACAAAATATACATAAAATGAACCAAAAAAGTCACGTAAAGTATTAACATTCGTTTTACAACCACTTACAATTTTTTCAATAATTTCTTGCTAAAACTCACAATAGAAAAGTTTCCATATATCGCCAACTGAAGTAGATACACGGTATAAGTATAGTTATAAATTCTATAGATATGTATGGTATTTATTTTGACTTGGGCTGTTTTGTCGGGGGCTGTTTTGACGGTGGCTGTTTTGTCGGTGGGCTATTTTGTCGGGGCTGTTTTGTCGGGGCTGTTTTGACGGGGCACCCAGATGGCTAGAGCCCTCCGCATAGACGCTATCACCCATCACACTTCCCCTCTCTCCCGTCCCGACGGTATGGTTTCCTTCGATGACGAGGAAAAGGCTGAATGCTTTGCAGACAGCATTGTCGCACAATGCTCTCCTAGCTCTCAACCCGTCGACCCCTCACACGTCCAGGCAGTGGAGGATGAGGTCCTCCGCCGGACCTATCTCTGTGTCCAATGATGAGATTTCATCCCTCATCAAAGGACTTAAGCCCAAAAAGGCTCCGGGCGCGGATGGCATCTCCAACCAAGCCCTAAAACACTTTCCTGAGCAGGTGTTAACCCTTTTATCTATTATCTTCAACGCCTGCTTCAACCTTAGTTACTTTCCCACTACGTGGAAAGAGGCAACTGTGATTGGTATTCCCAAGCCAGGCAAGCCTTTCAACCTCACCTCCAGTCATCGCCCCATTAGCCTCCTCATGGCCATGTTCAAGCTCTTCGAACGAGTCATCCAAACCCGCATGAGGCGCCATTTGTTTCCCACAGACGGTGACCCTCTTATCAATCCCCATCAATTCGGTCTCCGAGCGAAACACTCATGTCCCCAACAAGTTCACCGCATTGTGGAATATATCCTCAGCGGGTTTTATCCTCGTCGTCATAAGACCATCGAGGTCTTTTTGGACATAGCTAAAGCCTTTGATAGTCTGGCATACAGGCCTTATCTACAAGTTATACAGAATAGGTCTCTCCGATCGTTTAGTACGTCTCGTGGCCTCTTATCGTTTCGTTTTAGACACGAAGGCACGCTATCTTCACAGCGCCCTATCAAAGCTGGTGTCCCTCAGGGCTCAGTACTTGCTCATCTGCTGTACATCCTGTTCACCAACGACATTCCCATCGCGTGGAAAGGTGTTCAGCTCTCCCTCTTCGCAGACGACACTGCTCTCTACTGTAAAGGTATTTCGCTACCTTTCATACGGAACAAGGCTCAAAAACCAGTTGACGACCTAGGAGCTTGGGTCAAAAAAAGGGCGCATCGATGTGAACCCAGAGAAGAGCTCCGCCGTTCACTTCGATTATAAACGACGCCGTCTCAAAAACGCCACCAATACGTATGCTAGGGACCCCTGTCCCCTGACATACGTCTGCCAAATATTTAGGTGTCACTCTAGACACAAGGCTCACTTTCAGGCCCCACGTCAAAAGAATAACCCGTCACGCACATTTTTCCCTGAGTAGGCTCAACAGTATGTTGGGCCGACACAGTAAAATGTCCCCCAGAAACAAGCGTACCCTTTATAAGGTCTGTATACGACCAGTCACGTTTGCCCTAAAATTATTAATGAACTCCAAATAGTTCAAAACCTTTTCTGTCGTCGAGCTGCGAACGCACCTTGGTACGTCCGTAATGCCGACCTTCACCTAGAGCTCCCTACAATTCAACAATTTCTTAAAAAACTCTGAGAACTTCTTCAAAGCCGCAGAGTCGCACTCCAATCATCTTATTCGTGAGGCAGCTACTTATGCAGCCCCACCCCTTTCTCGCTATCGAGTCCGCAGGCCGTGAAACTCTCACTCGGACCCGCTTAATAAACTGTCAAATGACCTGAACTTCCTCCTGGCGGCTCAGGCCAACTCTAATTAAATTACTCATAATTAATTTGCATTCGTAGGCACTCCCCTCAGCGGCTCGTAGCCGCCTGCGCCCTCTTTTCCCAAAAGAGGGTCGCTTCCGATACGGCATAAGAAGCTTTAAACAGCTGGTTGCCAGTCAGATAGGCGGTTTTAGAGGGTATCACTTAGGTTCCCCCCGGTAGGCAGTGAGTCCCTCATAACGATGTCTGTCGTGGTATGCGTAATGCATTTTCCGCCTCCCTGCATAAAGGGTAGCCCTTTTCCAATTGCTTCAGGCGCAAAAAAAAGACGTGCTAACAGTTCGCGCTCCGTCCCTGTGCGGAGTGCACCTTCTCGCTTGCGCGCCTCCGCTCACACCGGCCGAGCAGTCGCCGTCGGTGAGTCCCTTGTTTTCGCATCGTTCTTGCCCCCTCGTTACGGCGGGGAGCTTCGAGCGCGCTTTGCTTTTTATTGTTTTGTTTTGTCTTTGTTTTGTTTATTTTTAATTTTTCTGTTATTGTTGTTATACTGACTGTTTTGTTGTTGTTTCTGTTTCTTGGAAGATCGTCTCTTGCTCTTCTCAGAGCAAGCCCTTGTTCATGTCAGAACATAGGAACCCCAGCTTCTGGGAATAGAACGTCAGCCCTCCCCCTCTGCCACCCAAGGCCCTGTTCTTCTCAGAACAGGAACCTCCAGTTTCCTAGTTTAAGAACGTCGTCCCCCTGCAGTCCACCCAACATGTCTACCATAGACGTGAGCATAGTCTCGAGCCAACTTATGGCCGTATTCGCCCAATTTATACAAGCCCACGGCATCCCCATTCCTTCAAAAGACCCTTCTCGCCAACGCCATTTCTCCCCTTGCCCCTAAGGCATGTGTCCCCCCACCCTCCGTCGCGGCTTTCCTTGCGACCCAAGCGGCTGCCCCTCAGACCGACTCGCCCGCGTCCCCCGACTCCGACATGGAGAACTCGGACACCACGTCCGTTGTTACCTTATCCTCCCGAAAGAGGACCGCACACAGTTCCACCGGTTCCTCGGAGTCGTCAGACTCCGAAGGAACGGTCACAGACTTGGCCCAATTCACCTTAGTTAACTTACTTGTTACTACCGTCGTTTATAACGCCACTAATTGAATGATAAATGTACTCGCCAAATTTATATTTTCCATGTTGTATAAACAAAGATCGTCTTACATTACCGCCATCAGAAACGGTCCGTCTTTAATGTGCACCTACTATTTGTCACAGTGCGTCCATTAATTTGAAGTTAAGACGTGTTTTATATTAACAGTGTGATTGCTTTGCGACATGGCTTCAAAAAGGTAAGTTTTTAAATATAAAATACTCAAAACAAAATAGGACCCACTCTAAGATAATCACGAATTTCGTCTAAAAAAATTGTTGGGTAGTAGAATAGTGAAGTTAAACATTTCGAAGTAATGTTGACATGTTTATCTAACGTTTTCAACGTTTCAAGTAGAATTCAATGGAGAAAAAAAAAGTAAACTCCAAAAAACGTTTATTACTCAAATTCTGTCACGTGTACCCTCAGTCACATTCTGAATGTTACAGTCGCACGTCTACTTTTTTCATTTTAACTTGATTTCGGTGTTACTCGCGATAATTATGCCTGGTTCTCGGCGTCATATGGATGTGGAAAAAGCAACAAGAGCAGTGTTTATGCTTAAGGAGGGACAATCTCAGAGATCAGTGGCAAGACTTCTTGGTGTGTCGCGACGAACTACGAAACGCGTGGGAACGCTTTCTAGAGACAGGTAGTGTCGCAAGGAGTTCTGGATCGGGAAGAGCGCGAGCTACAACCGTCCAGGAAGACCGGTATATCAGATTGACTGCACGTCGAGAGCGTACGATTCCCGCCCGCGTCTTATAAAATCGACTGCGGCAATCGACTGGCACACTAATTTGTGATCAAACCATTCGAAATCGGCTCCATGAAGACGGACAACGTTCCAGATCTCGTGTTATTCGTCTAAAATTGACAAGAGCGCATTGTACACCGGCTACCCGACATTTGTAAAAAACAGTGTGAGTTTAGCGACCGACACGCGTCACCTCGACTCGTTGTAAAGGTGTTCAATTTAACGACGTAATACGGCACGATAAGACAATAGTGTTCTGAGATATAGTTGTATTACATTGCGTCCATCCTCCAGCGTTGTGCGATTAATTGTGATTAATCTAATATTAATTATAGTAATTTAAAATGGCAGTTAGTGGAAAATGAAATTAAACTTAAAACTCTTTACGCCAAGAGGGACATACTCTTCTCACGTATACAGTGTATAAGTGATCACATAAAGAATATTAACCTAGAAGCAGTGCGGGAGACGTTTTTATGTGAAATCGAAACGGTGGACTCTTTGCGGACGGATTACGAAAGGATATTAGAGGAAATTAATAATTTGGTATGATATAAAATAAATTAATTATTACAAATCGACCCTAAGTATACAGTAAACTACCAGCCGCTTTTAGCATTTGAAGATATGTTGTGTGGCGTGAAAAGAACGGCGAAGCTCTTGCAGTCCCCATCTCAAAGCGAAGCAAAGCCGGAAGCCCAGGTACGCCCACGTAACTCACTCAGGTTGCCCCCCATAGATATTCCGGTATTCAATGGCGATATTAAAACATGGCCCTTCTTCTTTAGTAGTTTTCAAACAACATACATAATAATCCATCGTTATCGGACGCTGAAAAATTATACTATTTAATTACTAAACTGAGTGGTAGGGCACAGTCAATCTGCTCGGGTTTCACACCAACAGCAAACAATTATTCGTCAATATTCGAAACGCTTAAAACCAAATATGAAGATAAGAGAATGTTAGCCTCCGAATATTTAAACCAGATATTCGATATCCTATATCATCCGCGAACATCACCGGCTTAGAGCAGTTTTTAGATAAATTTGTATCATCGGTGGCTGCACTTAAGAACTTGAAATTTAATGACCTTCTGGACGTGGTGTTTCTCCATATTGCACTAAAGAAACTAGACCCCGACACCGTGCGTGCGTTTGAAATGGATCATCGTAGTTCTGAGTTGCCCTCATTTGATTTATTGGCATCCTTTGTGCGAGACCAAATTAAAGTGATACAGAGCTTCTCGAACGTTAAACAAGAAGTTAAGAAAGGTGTCGACCGACCGACCGACAGACTCCATCATCTAAAACCAAGGCCCGGAACCGGTTTGAAAAGTAACGGTTAATAAAGGTTAATAACGGTTTTGTGTTAACGTTATATTCATAACAAAACCGGAATTCATTTTGTTCTGTAAACAAAATAAACCGGTTTTTTGAATCACGATCCGCGGTGCTTGATATCGGCGGAAACTCGTTCGTCAAGCGTATACTTGTCTGAATCTGTTTCAACTTGCCTTTGAGCGCGCCGCAGCGTTTGTCGCATGCCTACTTTTCTCTCACCTCATTCAACTCGGAGCGCTCTCGACGATAGGAATGTTAGTTTATTAAAAACAAAGATTTAGTTGAATGTCGTTTGGGGAACTTAATTATTATTATAAGTTATTTATAATTTGAAGTGTCTGTCTCTAGTGCTGAAATAACATGGGAAGGAAACGAAGAAATAATATATATCAGTATTTTATTTATAACGAAGAGAACAAAACTTCACAATGTAAAGAGAGTAATTGTGGACAAATATTAAAGGTAAGTCATTGATAATATTTCCATTATAGTAAGCCAAAGAACTCTTCATCACTAAATTATACTAATTTATTATTTTAACAAATACCTACTTATTATTATGAACAATTTCCCAATAGAAATATGAAATAAAACTCGATATCTCGTTCTAGCTAGCTTCAGTTGATCCATTTTGTATGGAATGTCCATTTTTTTTCCATATTTTGACATTTTTGACCCGTTTCCATGAGAATAACTTAACACATTTTAACTATTTTCATGACGTATGGCTCGACGTCTGGTTCGTGAAGGACGATACCCTATAATATATCATAGAGCGGCTCGTTGTTCTGTTACAAGTAAATGCTCTGTGTCTATACTCACCTGTAGGTATTTCATACATAGTTGAAACGTCTCATATCACCACATTGTAACTTTTAAAAAATGTTAGAATGAAGATCTATAGATAGGCATATATAGGCAGGCAGCACCACATCAGGTGAAATAAAACTGGGAAAAAATGTCAAGTAGTTATGATGAGCCATACGTCGAAATATGAAGCCTAATTAATTTATGAACTGACTGTTCTTAAAATCTGATGTTTTGCTGTCTGTATGTAACATCATGATTGATATTTATTTAAAAATATATAATTTATTACTTACTATGTTATTTTGTGTTCTAGGGTCACCATGGCGCCAATCTTCTACGTCATTTTTATAATCAGCATCGATCAAAATACGAAGAAATACAAAAACTTAACCACGGCGACAAAGAAAATTCGAATCCAAATTTAACTGACAACCAAAATGTCGTCTTGAGTGTTATATAGATAACTGCACTGATTTAGTAGCGGTACATGGAAGACCTTCTGCACTTATAGAAGACGAAGCTTTTCAAAAATTACTCAACTTAATACCAGGTATGTCGGGAACCCCAATTAACTCTATAAATATAAAACACATTAAATTATCCATTGAAGAAAAAGCCCACATGGTCCGAAAAAATATTTGTGATGAGGTAAAGAATAAACTTATTGCATTAAAGGTTGATGTCGCATCTCTAAAATCGAGACGATTTCTTGGGCTGAATATTCAATACATACGTGAAGGCAAAATTGTGTTACGAAACGTTGGTATAATGGAATTACATCAAAGAAATACGGCTGAGTTTCTTAAAGACTGCGTAACTTTCATGTTGAGTCGTTTTGGCATTGAAATTAAGCAGTTATATTCAATCAAAACTGATAATGGAGCCAATATGCTGAGCATGGTAAAAAAAATTGATGAGAGGGTACGTGAAGCCCCAGAAATCTTTGAGAGTCTCGAAGATGAGACCGATGTCGACGATACTGACTATTATCAAAACTTGATTGACAACTTACAGTTTGACCTGGTCAGCTCCGAGATTATCCCTAAAGTCACTGCAGTTCGATGTGCGGCACACACGCTGCAACTTGCCGTTCGAGATGCCTTAAATGAGCACGTAGACCTTCTTGATCAGTGTAGACGTGTTGTAAGAACTTTGAGGACGCCGAATTATGCTCTCCAGTTGCGAGAAAATAACTTTCTGCAGCCTATTATAGATTGCCCAACGAGATGGGATTCCACAACCGACATGTTGGAAAGATTATTAAATTTAAAGATTTTTTGTCAAAATAATCCGCTTCAAACTAATATTCAAGAGGATACCTGGACCGAAATTGAAAATATATTGAAATGTCTTGTACCTTGTAGGAAACTTTCAAAGTCCCTGCAGCAGGAGCAATTAACCTTTGGTTGTTTTTACATAGCATGGATTCGATGTATGCTCGAAATAGAAAAAAATAATAATCCATTTGCTTCATTATTGGGATCTGTATGAGACAGAGGCAGGCAGCTCTTTTCGAAAATGATTGCTTTTTAAATGCTGTTTACTTAGATTTGGAAGCAGTTTTACGTGTTGCTACAAGTAACTCTATGCAGTGCCACGCTTCAAATTAATAAATTATTTTTCAATTTTAATACATTATTATCAATTCTTTATTGTCTTTAATTACCTATACTTCTGGCGGCCCGCCATCAGTTCATAATTTGCCCGAGTGGCCCCTAGTCTTAATAAGTCTGTGCATCACTGCTTTAGAATGTTTAGTGTTCTTTAGTGACTCGCTTCCTGCCTGTGAGTACGCACGTGTTCTTTTTCTCGGTTTTACGACGACTTGTGATCAGTTTCTTTCCTTTGACCTACGCTTTGTTTTTCGGGCTTGTGGTAGAGTGACCAGTGCTGTGTGAATCGGACTAGATTCGGAATCGGACGGATTGGCTACAAAAGTGGACAGATGGCTGCTGCGATGAGAGAATACACCCAACGGGAGTATGCAGAAATGCATTACCTGTATGGCTTTTGCGACGGTAATGCCCGGGCTGCTGCCAGGGAATATCGTCAACGCTACACTAACCGTGATCGTTTTCCGGACTACAGGGTCTTTATGTGCGTACATAATTCGTAGGGGGAAGTCCCCTAAGCCCGGACGGCTCCTAAAGCCGGACAGAATCTGAATCAGTGCGAAAAAACGCGCCAATTTGTTGCTTGAGTCGTGGTTAAAAAGCGTTTCCCAAGTGAAGTGTGGGGGGAGCGTGTCAATAGTTATTGATGACTCGTTCGGCGTGGAGCGTGTAGCCAATTTTAAGGTTAGTAAAAATTTTGTTCGAAGTAATTTTTTGTGTTCTGTAAACAGTATTTAAAGTATGGGATGATAGTCATTGTTATTAATTATTATTGCTATTGTACTAATCTGATATAACCCAGGTGTTTTTTTAAGATTCATAACACATAATGTGAATGAAAATTTTTCTTGTATATACTTCAGGGTCCCTAAGTTCGGACACTCTCAAAGTCCCCTAATACCGGACAGTTTTACAGTAAGTTTATTTTTGTTGTAGTTATTATTTTTGTGTTTTGTTTTTCAGATTCAACATGGATAAACGCAAACCGAGTTGTGGGTATACCCCCAAAAATGTAATATTGAAAAAAGCTCAGTTAGCTACATTTGTGATTTTTGCAGGTTGTACAATTAAAGTTTTGTAATTTTATAGAAACCTTTCCTAATTATGACCAAAGTTAATTACAATTAAGAATAGTTTTCTTTATAAACAGCTGATTTGATCAATTTTAATAGATATTCTTACGAATTGTATGTTAAAATAATGTTTAGGTTTAAAAATGAACGAAAAGTTGGCTGTCCGTCATTAGGGGACCTTTTTAAAAACGTCCTTTTTTCTATGTTAAATGTTTCTTAGTACCTACTACATTTAAGTAAGATTTGAGGTTGTTGATATATCTGTGTTGATTAAGTATATAGTTGTGAACTTATTAAAGTGAAATAAACAAATGAGACTATTATACGTTCTTTTTTATTTTTGTTCTTCCTTAAGTGTCCGGTTCTCGGGGACCTACCCCTACATGGAGAGATGCTCGGAACATGCCGGTCAGCATGCTCCGAGAGCAGGCAGACCAGTGGTGCAATTTGAAAATGAAGATGAAGTGCTGAGAGAATTAAGATTGGATCCTAGTATAAGTCAACGCCAAATATCCCGTAATCTCGGGATTCCAAGATCGACGGTGCAACGTGTCATTAACAGAAACAAATATCACGCCTACCACGTGCAAAGGAAGCTTTGCTGCCCGGTGACTATGAACCTAGAGTGCGGTTTTGCAGAGAGATGCTAAGATACCACAGAGAGGATCCGCAGTTCTTCAACAAGGTTTTATGGACGGATGAGTCAACTTTTAGAAGAATGGGAGTATTCAATATCCACAATCTACATTTTTACTCCAGAGTGAACCCCCATGTCATATAAGAAACGATCGATTCCAGCATCTGTTTGGTATTAACATGTGGTCTGGTATAATTGGCCAGCAGTTGGTGCTGCATGAAATGCCAGCAAGGCTGAATGGTGCTCAGTATTTATTAAAGCTGAAGTTCCAGAAGAAAGAATAGCAGAAATGTGGCTGCAACATGATAGCGCCCCGCCTCACTACGCTCGAGCAGTTAGAGATCATTTGAACGAGCGCTTCCCCAACCGGTGGATTGGTCGAGGCGGACATGTTGCGTGGCCACCCCGGTCGCCCGATTTAAATCCATTAGATTTTTTTCTTTGGGGCTATTTTAAAGAAATAGTTTACCAAGGAGAGAACAATAGCGAACAAGAACTAGGACAAAAGCTCGAATTTGCTAGGGTACAAGTTACTAACAACAGAGGTGCATTCCGTAGGTTACGTAGGAATTTTATTAGACGGTGCAGATTATGTATTATGGTCAGAGGCAGGAATTGGCGGCTCAGGCCGAGCCTACTTAACGCATCCCATAATCTGCCTTAGTTAGGCACACTTCTAAGCGGCTTTTCGCCGCTTGCGCCCTCCTTTCTGCCAAGGAGGGTCGCGTCCGTTTACGGCTTAAATATCTCTCTTGTCAGATCGGTTTTGTCGGATCGGAGTTTAGTGGGTAGGAGTCTCCACATAACTACGCAGCCAACTGCGTGGTATGCTATAAGCATTCTCCACCTCCCTCCCCCGTCACCGGGGGGTTGCCCTTAATTGTTTCGGCCGCAAAAAAAGACTCTAAGTTAGTTCTAATCTAAGGAGCGAAGACGTTACATCTCCAGAGTTGCTTTTAACGTTTTTAAAGTTCAATTTTAAAATTGTTAAATAAAAATATTACAAAATTGAGTGTTAGAATGAGTGATAAATACGTGTAAAAATGACGAGAGTTTATCTGAGTGGATCACGAAAACGGAAACCAGCCGAAGAAAAAAACAAAAAGATGAAGAAGTCGTCAAAAAGGTGCCGAAATTAACGACATACTTTCAACCCTCTACATCGCTGCTGAAAAATCCTAATGGTGCGACGAGCGTGGCGGAAGAAGACGGCGGGCAAAAAATTCAGGAACCATCTCTCGCTGTTGACAATAACAATGATGCAACAATTCCAAATCTCGCACACTGAGGAAACAGGGACAATGATTCTGGAACGTGGACTGAACTCACTGAGGATGATATTAGCTACTGGACAAACGAGGGACCACAAAAGTGTCAACACAACTCTAATTCATTGGAAAACTCGCGGAGAGTTTTCCAAGTACGAAAACAAACCAGATTCTGCTCTCGCAACATTTTTAATGGTACCAACGGTGAAAAATACACTCGAGAATGGTTGCTGTATTCTCCGTCAAAGGGCGACGTGTATTGTTTCGTTTGTTAACTTTTTTCATCTAATGTTTCGTCGCGGTTGGTATCTGGACTCAATCTCATAGAGAAGCAATGCTTGCATATTTGATTCGACGAAAGTGATTGGGCTTAAAATCTCAGTTTGATGACCAAATGGAGGAAGAATTCAAATACTTGAAGCAAATCTTGCACCGAGTTGTATCTGTCGTTCAAACATTGGCAGAACGAGGATTGCCTTTCCGAGGTTCAGATGAAAAATTTGGATCCGTGAATAACGGGAACTACTTGGATTGCTAGAACTTATCGCTAAATTTGATCCGTTTTTGGCCTAGCACATTTCAAATTATGGAAACAAAGGAAAAGGTAACATTTTAATCATGATTTAATTTTTGGATCAATTTTTTCACTGTATTGTTAATATATTATCAATGTATTGTCAATATATTTTCAATGCATTGTCAATATGTGACCTCTTTCAAGAGAATTCACTATAAAATAATAGTATACTTTTCATTTTTTACAGGGAATGTGTCCTACTCGTCGAAAACTAATTGCGAGGAGCTCATTGAACTAATGAGTCAGGAAGTCCGGTCCGTGATTTTGGCTGAAAGAAGAGTTGCTGGATATTTTAGTTTGTCCGTCGATTCAACTCCTGATCTATCTCACATTGACCAGTTGTGCGTCATCATAAGATACGTTTCACCATTTGATGATTTGCCTGTAGAGCGATTTTTAACATTTTTAGAATTAAATTCACGTTGGAAAAGATATTACGGATGCGGTTTTAAAATTTTTGATCGAAGACTGCAAACTTGATTTTTCTAAGTGCAGAGAGCAATCCCATGATAACGCAGCAAACATGTCCGGTATTTATAAAGGGATGCAAATTATGATTTTACAACTCAACCCATATGCAATATACATTGCGTGTGCAGCACATTCATTGAATCTTGTTGGTGGTAGTACAGTCGATTGCTGTTTGGAGGCTGTCAACTTTTTTTCGTTGGTGCAAACACTTTACGTATTTTTTTCCGCTTCTACACAAAGATGTACGAGAGAGAAGGAAAGTACTAAAGGATCATATCAATGATGAAAAAGTTTTAAAGAAACTCACAAACACGCGATGGGAAGCACACGCTGTTGCCACAGATGCAATTTTAAAATCGTATCCTCAAATTCTCGACGCGTTAGATTCTATTTCGGAAGATATGGATCAAAAAGGGGAAACTAGACAAAAAGCAATGAATATTGCAAAAAAAATGCAAGAGATTGAGTTTGTTTTCATGGTTACGATGTGGAATGATATTTTGCATCAATTTCATCGGACATCACAAGCCCTTCAAAATGCAGAACTTAATTTGCAAGTTTGCAGTGATTTGTATAAAACGTTGGCTCTTTATTTACAAAATCTCAGAGAAAGATTTGAGGAATTCGAGAACAAGTCCAAGCGAGGTTTACGAAAAGCTGACACACAAGTTTTCGTTTTTATTAAAAATGGATTTAACCAACGATGAGTTGTTTGCCAAGGTTGAATCGCTTGTCGCATCGTATCCTTAAGAATTTAAATTCAAATCTTGCTGATGAATTACAACAATTTCACCAGTACGTTCGTTTGAAAATGAAAAAAGATCAAAGTATTAGTGCGAATTTCACTGACTTTTACAATGATCTACTTCAAACAGTCTTCCCTAATTTGGAAATCTGCTTCAGAATATTTTTATCATTAATGATAACAAATTGTTCCTGGAGTGCGTTCTTTTTCGCAGATGAAAAGGATATAAAATCCTTTAAGGACGACGATGCGACAAGATCGATTATGTTCGTTGGCTCTTCTGTCAATCGAATCGGATGTAATGCGTCGCATGAATTTTGACAAATTGATAGAAGATTTTGCACGTCAAAAGTGCAGAAAAAAGAAGGTTTAACTTGTAAGCGATCGTTTTTAAGTAATTTTGTAAATAAATTTAAAAATGAAATTAGTTTGAATATTGCTTTTTCAATAAATATACAACATAAAAATAATTGTGTCTCACTTATGCATTCATAAACAAAAAAATATTAACAATTAATCAAAATAATAAAAAAAAATAAGGGGCCCCAAATCATTCACTGCTTAAAATCCCACCGACTGTTAACCCGGCCCTGATTACTGTATATATCAGCATCCAATTCACATATGAGATACTTATTTACCCAATTGGAAATGCCTGAAACTCGTTTTCAATTCATGAAAACGCTTGCTGGACACAGCTATCGAGACCACACATGTACAGAGAAATTGACGACGACTCAGCGTGACATATGACTTTCTTTTCGTCGAGTGGTGAAACTAGACCAAATAGCACTTCCTGGCTTTGCAGGGTGCAGTGCTGATGGCACAAGTAAAGTTAAACAATACACAAGAACTGCCCTTTATGTAACTCAAAAAAAACGGAAGACACAATACTTATGTTTCATGTGCAATAAGCCCATTTGCCTCGAGTGCTCCCACTTGACATGTATTTCCTGTGTTTAAAAAATATAAAATTTGAGCACTGCAATTTTGCTAAAATATATTCATTATGGCAACTTTTTTTAGGTTATGGTTATTATTTACTGAACTTTAAAAAATGAATAAGGAATGTTCCTAATTTTTGATCACTTTTATTATGGATATCATGTTATAAGAGAATGTTACTTTTTTTTAGTTATTTTAGTCAGTAGAAAAAGAAATTTAGTTTTGATTATGAATGACGTCGATTTTTTTATTTTTCTAAGTTTAATATGAATAAAAGATATTAATTATATTTTTTTTAATTAGTTATCCCACGTCATAGTTTTTCTTTCTAAGTTTTCAAAGTACCGGAGTCTGTGAGACTCCAAGTAGGTAGATATTTATCTGGAATTAGGGGTAAGTAGGAAGGCAAGGGTGAAATTTTGATTATTTTTATTAGGTATCCATTTAATACCTGATATTTTATCTAGCAAGCATTTTCCACAAAATTATGTGTAATTATTGTTTTGTAAAATATTTTAATGTAAATGTGTACACAAAAATTTTCACTATATATGTTATTTAAATTTTGTTACTTTTTATTAGGTATTCATTTAATTCATTTAATACCTGATATTTATCAAATTTTTTTTTTTTTTTGATAAACAAATATTAATTTGTTAAAAGTTTGAATTGGAAATAACACAGTACAGATTATTGTAATTATTGTCACATTTGAGAAAAGATTTGAACGCATTTTTAATTCACAACAATTATTAATTTATTAGTTAACGGAATTGTAATCCGAAATTTCAGTTAAAGTTGAAGTTGTTTGAAAACGTTTTTTTATAATTTAATTTATATTTGTTCATTTGTTTTGTTTTCATGTCACTCGATTATAAAATTAATTATATATAATTTTGTAATGAAAAATCGTTTTTTACTGTTTCAATAATTTTTATTTCTAGTCACACAAAAATGCAATACATCTATTTAATATGTTTAACATGTCACAACATGTTTTTAAATTAGAGAATACAAACTTAATTTGACTTTTCATACAATACGGTGTTTTGTTAATAAAAAATTCATACATTGTGTTATTTTAAAATTTAGGTGCTTTACTGCATTTAGAATGCAGGTTTAAAACATGTTGAAAATAATTTTATTTTAAAATTAGGTCTATGTAACTGTTATGAATTTTAAAAGTCAAATTGTATTTTGATCCTTCTAAATGAATAATTATAAAAACCTTATTTACTACACGTGTTTTTTAAAAAGCACAATATTTTAAAATAAAATCTACGCCATTGTGTTTCCGTAAAATGAAATGAAATTTTGCCCTTGTAAGTAGCAATTTTCACAATTGTTTTAGGATTTATTAATTTGAATCTTGATGAAATATTACTTTTTAATTTGTTTTACAAATAGTTTTAAAATTTAATTGTTAAAATTAGAAAAAAATATATACTTGATAGACTTTTTTCTTATTTTATTAAATTAGGCACGCAGCAGTGGTGGCGAGTTTTTATAATCTGTACTGCTTGTTGTTTTTTTCTGTTACTTTTTTATTTCTAGTGTTCATTTTCGCTTGATTTTACTGAAGTTCTGGCGAGATTTTAAATGCAGTGATTTGTTACTCACCGCGCGTCTACTGACCACGTTTCTTACCTCCGGTTCTGTGAAATAAACATTATAATGTATGCATTATAATTATTATGTATACCTACATGTAAATTACAAAACTCAGTGAAAAGTTAAAAAAATCTTAAATATTAAATCTTAAAATATGCACCTAAGATTAATTAGTAGTAAATTCCTTATACATAGTGTGATTACATTTTATACAGCGTTATGCTGCTATTTTACGCTGGTATTCGGCGAGAGCGTGGTCCTTTCCCGGTCGAGCCGACCCTTTCGTGTAATGAAATGAAATATTTATTTGCGTTTGGTTAAGGTACACTGAAGATGGTCATATTAATTAAACATCCGCTTAATCAGCCATTATTAATGACATGCAAATCTTACAACTAAAAAATAACGAGATAACAATATTTATGAGAACAATGTTTAAAATAACAAAATGTCAATAATTAATCAATATATATGTAAAATTTATAAATATTTCACAAATGGTCCAGTAAATTTATATCAGTCTAGTTGCTAATATGAATCGTAATTTAAATATTCCTCTACAGTGTAAAAAGCCTTTTTACTGAGCTAGTTGTATAATTCTCTTTTAAATACAACTATACCATTAATTTATAATATGTCGTTTTACTTAGAACAACTGCAACACCAGAAGAATCGCAGGTGCGTTGCCTGCCCTTTAGAAAGGAGTAAGCTCTTTTCTTGAAGGTCCCTAAGTCGTATCGGTCCGGAAAAATCGCCGTTGGTAAACGATTCCACAAAGAGGTCGTACAAAAAAAACTCTTAGTAAAACGCATAGTGATGAACCACAAAGCATAACAATGGTGTGGATGGTATCGTAAGGTATATCGCGATATGCGTTCGTAAAATTTGGCGGCTAGAATTAATCCGAACAAATCCTCGAAGCACTCCCTGTGGTAAATGCGTGTAAATGCGATTCATCTCTTATCATAAAAAAATACAAAAACATTGCGTAGAATTCACCACAATATTAAATGAAAGTATGGTTTTACATACTTGAAAGAAAAATATTACGTACTTTGAAATTGACTGAGCCCTAAAATTAAGTAGGACAACTGACAAATATTCATTCAACACTAAAAAAAAAATCTTTCTATTTTTTTTTTTGTTTGGTTTTTCTTATTTCTTTTATTTTAATATTTTCTTTGGGCTGTTTCTTCTTTGTGTGTTACATGGCTGTATTGGTGTGCTTCTGTGCTCAATGACATATGTTCCGGATTCTAGTGTATTCTTCCAGATGCTGAGAAGATCTCAGCACATGATTCATGCTTATCACTCTTGCCACTTATTGGTCCATTCGCTAACTTTCTAGACATCAAAATGATTTATTGAAGATATTTTATGAGCCATGGTAGCTCATATAGAAAAGCTATAAACCATACCTAAGTTACTATTATTTATGTCTACATAGTTAGGGATAGACCTGGTGGCGATTAGCAAACCAATATGTAATATACTGGTTATATTTGATCGATTCTTAATTTATTTCGTAATTTTACACGCAAAATCCGCGCTTAGACGTGGAGTTGGAAAATAGCCCGTCGTAAACTAAACTTATCTCCTACTATTATTTTAAATGCTAGTTGCTTAAGGTACACTAGACGTTCAGCATTGGGCTTTTAACACACTGTAATAAAAGATTTTTTTAATGAATCATTGAACGAACGTATGA